AATGTACAGTGTGGCCCTACAGTACAGCAGTACGTTTGTACCTATGATGGATTTCAGGTGTTAGCCCAGGGAACCCCAACCGTATCCCACCTAATCCTTGCTCCTCCTACTTAGCTACTGTATATACTTCACTGAACTGGGCTGGGCAGCCTGCACCTGCAGTCTGAGGGGAGGCAAGAGTGGCCCGGGACTACAAGGGCAGAAGTGGAGAAGGGCTGGAAGGTCAAGTGGAAATGGGACAGAGCCTGAAGGCAAGCCTGGCAAGGACTTCCCTACCAATGGGTCATCTCTCGCCTTGTTAGCTCTGTCGATCTCTACCATTTTCTCTCCCCTCAATGAGCAGAAGACCGGATTGCGCTGCCAAGACCGCTCAAAATCCCATCCTTATCCCTTGAAATCCCATCTTATTCTATTGTGTACTCTACGTTACAGTACCTACAGCCCCCTCCCTGGCCTTTTGCCATGGAGTGTGAAGTGCCCACTTACTATCCCTAACAAACGAGCTGAAGGCCTTTGGTCCATTGTATCCTGAAGAAATAGTTGTTGGACTGACAACGTGTTAACTCTTATTTTGTTTTCCTCCGAGTTCCTGTGCCGTAATGAGCTTGTGTTCCGGCATCATGGATTTTTCCGTGTCGGAAAGGAAGGGTTCTCATAGTGAATGAAGTCTTGGTGGTTTCGATGACCCCACGACCCTGCGTCACAGTCAGTGTACAACAATTAATCAGTCTTTTGAGAACTGGTCCGTATTGCCCTCGGATTATCTATGAATATAGTTGCTCATTCAGTCTGGCCCGACAAATAGTCCTTTCTCTCAACCTGAGATGCACCACAATCATTCCTAGGCATTCCTATAAGAATTATCTATAGTATGTGTAATCCTTGCGGGCACAAGAAGCGAGATCGACAAATCGTACAAAGGACAAAAAAACCTTGACTTTTGACGAGACAGACGCACAGCTCACCTAATGAGACCTGTGCTTCTTGGATCGAGACCCATAAATAATGGGCTAATCTAACATGAGAAATGCTAACTTAGTGTGCGAGTTTCATACTACTAAGGTTGAGCGACACTACTGATCCTAACTCTTGTTGCTTCATTTAGTTACCTTTATGATGCGGACAATTCTCAATCTAGGCGCGGATCGAAGCCTTTGGCCCGACAGTTTCGATCCGGTCTGCTGACAACTGCACCACTCGATAGTACGCGCACCAGCTCGTGGCTTGAAACAGGAGCAACGGTCTTTTTTGAATTGCGATACTGTCCCTCCTGGTGCCAATCTCGAAGACTGGAATTACCGATAGGCCAGACCGCTTGACAACGTTATGAATCGGCGATCATGATGCCTAGTCCCCCACTTGGCTTGCAGAGTCCCTTTGAGCTTTCTAGGATAGCCAACCAGCAAGTTCACAAGTGACTTGTTAGCTTGAAGAATCTGGCCCCAAGATACGTTTGAACCCCTCTCATCTTGATGCTAGGAGGTGGGTAGAACAACAATCCGCGTACGATCTCTAAGTAGGGAAGTGCAGTGAAGGAAATTTATGATCACCTTGCTGCTTCTGACCCGTATTGGCTAGCTCTTTACTTTTGTCGACCGCACAGGCTAGGACTGGGGAGCGGGGATTATTTTGTCCTCCATGGGGCTAGGTCCAGGGCACCTAGTCGATCCCTGTCCGTCTCTGGTGGACGGGCCAAGGCGTCGTGGGTGTCATGAGGTGAGAGAGGCAAAGTCCCTGAGCCACTTGTTGATCTCGCTGTCGACACCATTCTGTTACACTGACAATGGAGCAAGTGTCTCGAGGTGCACTATACGTATTGTTCCGGTGTTGTGCTGTGTGCAGATGCGATGGTAACCAAGTTGGACATATACATACAAGTGTACCGCATAGAAAGAAACATGGCGGAGCATGGCATACATAATATGCAAAGCTCATACCTAGGCATGATGAATGAGGCTCGGTAAAATATGTACGTACTCAGTGTATACATTCGTTCCGAAGCAAGTCTTCACACTGTGGGTGCGCCACATGGCTGTGACATCATTCGAGCCCGGTGCTTTCTCTCCGGCTTTAGAGACAAGGAATAGATATTCTTGGCAAATCATCGTTTTGAAACGAACGACTTTTGTGGTCATGACGATCATGCCCTCTCAAGGTGCAGATCCTGATGCATCAGCCACAGGTGGCGAACAACAACCGCTCAATAGCTGTTACTATCCTGGTTTTATGGGCAGTGATGCTTTGGTGGTGTTTTGGTGGACAAAGACAAATTTGCAGATAATGACTACCCAACTATTATTCCCTGTTCCTCGGAGGTGTTGTATTGCAAGAAATGCACTCTCCATTGAAAGGAGATCTTACCAAGTGTCCATCGTAACATCCCTCCAAGTTGCCAGTAGAGCAGAAAATTCTCTTTTGCCTGTGGATCACAGCGATGGCTATTCCCCAATAACCCGGCCTTGAATTACAGTATTGCCACTTGAATACCCGAAATTTCTGTCGATTATACATCATAAATTACATAAATCAACAAGCGTGGGACTGTCAGTTTTTAGGCCACTTCCTGGCTGGATACCCATATGAGAAAACGGCGCCAAGCACAATATTCACACTTTGATTCATCCGGAGGTGTTCCGAAGCAGCCCGGAGATCCGACGGCATTCGATTGTAGTGTCAAAACGGGTCTCGTTTTGTTTACATGTGAATTAGAATCAGTCATCGCATGCCCATCGGTATTTATTTATGTGTACACGTACGATAACAAGATGAAGAATGGACTGGTATTCAGACTTGCTAAAGTGTGACAAATTACTTCACTTGCATCGGATCCAAAGGAACCATGCCCCATACGTTCAGAAACATGAAGTCTGGTTTTTCCTCAAATACAACGTCGTAAAAGTACCCTGCTCGACGCCAAGACAGTGCGAAGATATGTAAGGTATTATTGCCCAAGCTTTACAAAATCGGCCAGATAGATTTGCATTTCACTCAGGTAAGGACACTGCACCGTGCCTATACGCGATATATCAGTGATAATCAGGTTATCATACTATTTTTAAGATTGTGAAAAGTGTATCGTTGCAATATGTTAGGCTAGGCACCTTATGCTGAGTTCTGATAGACGCTCAAACGTCGGAGCGCTAATTGCCTCTGTCAATTGGTTCAACATCACTTACACAATTTAGCTCAAGGTTATCAGGTATAAAGTTAATCTCCTCGGCTCGCAAAGCACTCCCTGCAATTGTCTATATCAAAATGAGGGCATTGTAGATAAAAGTCATGGCACTTTCATATACCCTGGGTGGGAATATGTTACTGGGAAAGCACAGTTGTTTCTTATCAGGTCATAGACAGCCTAATACTGAACTACCTACACTCGTTCAGCAATCAGAGCATATTCTTTCCTCGAGAATGGAGGCACAAATAATGCAGAAATTTGAGTCATCGATAGCATCGTATGATCTGGCGAGTCAATTGAAACAATAGGATTAATCAAGCCAGAGAAGATCCTCTCATCGCCAGCAACCTCTTACTGGCAGAAGCAACGTGCACTCTGCTTGAAACTGAAGAACCCTAAGGCCCGGCTGGCTGGCACGCTGCGATCATCTGCCAAGCAAGGCTAACCCTGCTTAGGTAGCTCGGGAGAGCAACATGAGACCTCAACTACATAGCGACGAGCTGACAAACCTTAGCCATGGATATCCTGGCTGGAAACAAGACTCGATAGAGGCACCGGACGCCTTGACGTTTTGGGTGGGCCACAGTTGACCACGCAATATATACATAGTTCCAGATCTACCTGCGGATAGTAATTGTGATATATGACACAGCTCCTCCTCGCCTACTGATGCCCAAGGGGCCTCAAGGCTGACGAAAGCGGCAGATGGAAGTCTAGAACGTAGAGATTCTCCTAGTAATGGGCCCTATAAACATGGCTGCCCCTAGCTATCTATGTCGTGCAGGGTCTAGTTGTCTTGTGCCGCATGCGATGCTTACTGGTCGGCTTTACTCCCTTCAACTCGATTGGTCGATCTACGACTCTTGAAACAAATACTTCCATCGGGAATATGCTTGTTGATCACTAATGCTTGACCCAACTCAGCGTCTTATAAAGCGGTGTGATTGTTTGTTAAAGTGAATACAGAGACACTTCATGTTGATGTTACCCCGGGCCTCAGTCCGGGCATGTCCGCCGAAACAAAACTGGTGAGTTGTTCAGCATTCGCCAGAAAGAGAGTCCCTGCTCGCCATGTTGCATTGAGCTATAAGAACAAAGGAATGAAAAAGAAAACAGTCAGAAGAAGGAAAGCGTACAAATCATATTCATTTTCTTAGCTGCTAATGAGTATGCCATTTGTATCTGAGACATAGGCAACTCATCTAACACGTAATGAGTGCATTCTCCTCATTCGTATTTCCACCTCATGCTGTAGTGCCATTTAGGTTCTAGATATCCTATATTGTTGTTACTGATTAGTGAAGATGAGCTCTTAAGCAAACTCATTACTAATTGAGGATCAGTAATCAGCCATTTTGTGTTCATTGATTTGATGACTCGGGTGAACCTGGTGCTGAACTGTATTACGCTCTAACCTGGAAACAGTCATTCTGGCATACACACTAAGTGCATAGGTATGAGGATATATGGTAACAAAAAGGGACTGGGCTTGGAATTTGTGAGCTTGTTTACTCAATCATGCTTCGTCAGCCTGAGGAAAAAGAGATCAAGTAGTCTTTGTGACGTCAAAAGATGATGCAAAAGGAAACTCCGGTACAGGGAATCGAACCCTGGGCTCCGCGGTACTGATCTCTCAGGTTATGAGAGCGCGAAATGTTAGCCACTACACCATACCGGACTGGTTATAGTTTTAGGCTTCAATTGAATATCACAAAGCCCAGGGTGTCGGGAACGACATTCACCATCACCACCTCTAAACAAGCCTGGAATCTTAACAAGTTTACTTTGATTATCGTGACATCTCTTCCCTTAGTCTCATCAACTAGGAGACAGTGACCGTCACATTACCCATGAAGTTCTCGCTAGAGTTGCCTACAAAGATAGTAAAGTCTCCAGGCTCAACAACATACTTCATCTTGCGGTTCCACAGACCCCATTCCTCAACCTTGAGGTCGATCTTGACAGTTTCAGTCTTACCAGCTTTGACGGCGACCTTCTTAAAGCCCTTGAGCTGGTACCGAGGAACGTCGACGGAGGCGAGCATGTCTTTGACGTACAGCTGAACAACCTCAGAGCCATCGCGCTTGGACTTGTTGCTGACGTTGACAGAAACCGTGACTGTGTCGGATGATGTTACGTTCTTCTTGGAAACAGATATCTTGGAGAAGTCGAACTTGCTGTATGAAAGACCGTAGCCGAACGTGTAGAGAGCTTCGGGGTTTTCGAGGATGTAGTTGTTACCGAACTCGAGGGTGCCGTTCTCGTGAATCTTACCTGGATTGGGATAGGCACGCGCAGAGTTGAGGTAATCGTAGTAGATGGGTGTAGTGCCGACATCGTAGGGGAAGCTAACAGAAAGCTTGCCGGAGGGATTGACATTACCGTAGAGAATATCAGCGAGGGCATGACCTCCCTCCTGGGATTGGTAGAATTGCTGAACAAGGGCAGCAGCCTCCTTAGAGATCCATGGCTCAGTTATGGGCTTTCCGGAGCTGTAAACAACGATGGTGGGCTTTCCAGTGTCGATAATTGCCTTGACAAGCTTAGGCATGGCACCGATGAGGTTCAAGTTGCTAGCATCGATATGCTCACCGGTGGTGGCATTGAGGCCTCCCCAGAGTTCATTCTGGTCGCGAGTCCAGGTTCCGACAACAACGACAGCAACATCAGCAGATTCAGCAGCAGCGATGGCATCTTCGAAGCCAGACTCGTCTGCGGACCACCGCTCGCAGCCTTGGGTGAAAGTGACTTTGCCTTTACTAGCAGTCTTGATGCCATCATAGGGGGTGACACCTCTAGTCATGGCAGTATGAATGACATAGTCACCGTACTATTCAATGTCAGCGGATGTTCTCCAAGGTGGCAAAATTGTTATTTACGTTGACGTAGCCGTGGGCCATAGGGCCGATAACGGCAACATTGGCATCCTTCTTCAATGGAAGAACGTTCTCGTGGTTCTCAAGGAGAACGATACTCTCAGCATCAAGCTGTCGAGCTACCTTCTTGTGAGCCTTGGTGTTGACATAATCCCAGATTTTGTCGTCGGCAACACCAGTAAAGGGCTTCTCGAAAAGACCCATCTCGAACTTGGAACGAAGAACTCGGGACACAGCTGTATCGACGATCTTCTCATCCAGCTTGCCAGCCTTGACAAGCTCAGGGATGATCTCGAAGCTCCAGTAGCCACCACCCATCTCGGCATCGTTACCAGCAGGAAGAGCCTATGGCTAGTTAGCAGAGGGCTTATCACGTTGCGGAAAGAAACTCACCTCAAGAGTGATGCACTCATCGTCCTCAAGGGGGCAGACGTGGAATGCTTGGGCAAGGCGAGCAGTTCCACCGGCATCGGAGATGACATAGTACTTGTAATCCCATTCGTCTCGAAGGATATCTGTCAGGAGGTGGGAATCCGAGACAACTGGGACACCATCGTATGAGTTGTAGGAGGACATGATGGAAGTTGCCCCGCCATCGATGATGGCTCTCTTGAAGGGTGGGAGGTAGAGAGACCGCAGCTGTCGCTCACCACCATGCACAGGTGCAGTGTTTATACCTTGTTCGGGTGTAGCAAACGCAGCCTACACTGTTAGCTTTCAAGGTTGATGATGGAATGGCAATAGATATGGCTTACATAGTGCTTAACCATAGCTGATACTCCTCCAGCCTGAAGACCCTTGACGTATCTGTAACCCATTTCTCCGGCGCTACATGAGTATTAGTATATTTCATTGCCTAGAAACACGCAACCAGGACAGAACGTACAGATAAGCATCTTCACTGAAACACTCCTCAACTCGTCCGAATCGCAGTTCTCGAGCGAGATCGACTTGAGGAGAGAACAGCTGATTGATACCAAGAGCACGAGATTCGGTTGCGATGATGTCAGCCATCTTTTCGATGAGTTCCGGATTAAAAGAGCATCCCATGCCGATGGGAGAGTTGAAGATTGTTCCATTAAGGATTAAGACTCCGTGAAGACCTTCGCTTTGGATAAAGGCAGGGATTCCTTTATTCCGTTAGATCGCACAACAGGAAATCAAACAAGTAGCTTAGCTTACCTAGCTCGGTTTCCTTCATGAGATAATCTTGTCCCAACTTGGCAGCCTTCTTGATAGTGGTCATGTTGGCGTACAAGCCAGTCCAGATGGAATTGGCACGGTACTTGAAATTCCACTCCAGACCAGTCTTGTTAACAGCCTCGGTAGTAAGATTGAGATAGTTGGTCATGTCACCCTGGATTAACTGTGCCGTCTTGTCCTCGATAGTCATACGCTCAAGGAGATCCGAGACTCTGTCGTCGACAGAGGCTTTGGAGTCTTTGTAGACTGGCTTATCCTTGGCAGCTTGCCCGGCCGTGGCCAGGACAGCCACACAAACATAGCTAGAGAGCTTCATTCTGGAGACTTGAAGATGAGAAAGAAGCTACCTAGGAGCTATGGATTGTAATAAGGTGGGCTCCACATGGTTTTATGTAGAACTAGAAGAACCTTGGCTCTTTACAATTAACCGTGTAGCCTGGACGATGGTCCCCTCTTCTCGTACCGCAAGGCACAGGTCTACGATCCTGTTCGCCCTCAATGCATGCGAGTTTGATTTCGGGTTCAATTCGTGTTAGTTCATGTAATGAGTCGTCTTTGGGGATGTTACGGCCGAAGCACAGAGCAGATCATGACATGATGGGCTTTGCAAACCCTGGAGAATGCGGGGCAGAAGACCAGAAGAAGGAGATGGGCAAAGCATTGAGATTCGTGGATTTGTTTTTAAGTTGTCATGAGAACAGGGGAGAACAGAGCAGAGTAACAAAGGGTGTGTAGTCAACCATTGGACCGGTATATGATCTCAAGGCCAGATGGAAAGACGAGCCGAAGATCCTAGTAAAGACGCAGAGCAACTATGTGTCAAGAAACGTATGACATAGAGAGAAAGGGCTAGCTTGAAAAGAATTGGTCAGGGTAAAGAAGTTATGTATGCAGGTCATTTTACGACATTGAAACTGAGGAAGTTGAATATCGGTACAAGTTAAACCGAGCCCGAAGCTCAAGGTTCAACGGCCCAGCAGCCGTTAGCTCAGTCAAGCCGGGCACCAACTCGCCAACTTACAGTGGCTCCCCCTTGTAAACCCCGCATGTTCACTCTCTGTATTTAGCCGGGGGTGTTTCTAGTGCCCGCTAATTTATCCACCAGTCGATCATCTCGCAGGGGATCCTTGATTCTTTCTTTCCATTCATGCTCGATAGAGTATCATTAACACTTGTATCTTCACCTGTCAACGTCAATGCCATGACAAGATGGTGGGGTCAAGAGGGGAAAACATGAGATGGTCCCCATAACCAAAGGATGATGCTGTGCCGGATGAATTATCTTTGTAGGATGATGGAGAGTTAGAATCTCTCATCCAAACAACTACTTCTTCCTTGGAGCAAGCTCTCTACCTCTTACATTTCATTATACACTGACTGAGACTAAAATTTGATCTCCTAAACACCAAAGATGCATCTTCGCGATGGTATGTGGCTGCCCGCCGAAAACTTTCGCACAGAATACGCCGAAGATGTCTACGAAATCACCCCCACCCAAGACCAACAGGCATTGAGCTTGCTGTGCCCGACAAAGCATATCCGCACTCGTGGCGATGGCCTCAACCAACCCACTCTTACTATCGATATCAAAGCCGAGGCGGACGGCATCATATCGATTGAGAGCACACATTGGGCCGGTGCCCAACGAATAGGTCCTAACTTTGATCTCTTCCCGGATGGCCAGCCAAAGATCGAAGGGAAGATCATACAGAGTGACAAGGGAACCACCCTTCAGTCTGGCTCTTTGTCTGCCACTATTCATCCTGACCAACACAACTTTGACATCAAGTTCCATAGCTCTGATGGCAAGAAATATCTCACAAATCTCGGCAACCGCAGCACCGGTTTTGCCTACTCTCCTGCTCCTACCTCACAAATCCAGACCGGGGACATGAGAGACTTCAAGCACTACATGTTCATGCAGACAACTCTGTCCGTCGGCGAGTCTGTCCATGGTCTGGGCGAGCGATTCGGTGCCTGGAACAAGGTCGGCCAAAACGTCATTCTCTGGAACGCAGATGGTGGCACGTCAAGTGATCAGGCCTACAAGAACGTATCTTTCTGGATGAGCAATCGTGGATATGGAGTATTTATCGATTATCCTGGCAAGGTCGATCTCGAGATTGGCAGCGAGCGATGCTGTCGTGTGCAAACCACTATCGAAGGACAGCGTCTCAAGATGTACATCATTTACGGCGATGGACCCAAAGATGTGCTCAAAAAGTACACGGTCCTCACCGGAAAGGCCAACAAAGTCCCCAGCTGGAGTTTTGGTCTTTGGTTGACCACTAGCTTCACCACAAACTATGATGAAGCCACTGTTAACTCTTTCCTTGAGGGTATGAAGGCTCGCGGCTCGCCAGTTGACGTGTTTCACTACGACTGCTTCTGGATGAGAGCGTTCAGGTGGACAGACTTCATCTTTGACTCTGAGCGCTTCCCTGACCCCAAGGGTCAGATCTCGCGTCTCAAAGAAAAGGGGCTCTGCAAGAAGGTCTGCGTCTGGATTAACCCCTATATTGGCCAAGCTGGTGTTGCCTTCAAGCATGCCGCCGAGAAAGGCTACCTTCTCAAGCGTAAGAATGGCGATATTTGGCAGTGGGATCTGTGGCAGGCTGGTATGGGCCTTTTGGACGTCACAAACCCCGAAGCTTGTGCCTGGTATGTTGAGTGCCTCAATGACCTCTTTGATAAGGGTGTCGATGCCCTTAAAACCGACTTTGGCGAGCGCATTCCCACTCTTGATGTCCAATGGCATGATTCGACGGTTGATCCCCACAAGATGCACAACTACTATGCATTTGCGTATAACAAGCTTGTCTACGAAGCTCTTCAGAAGCGATATGGTGATAGTGAAGCCGTCCTCTACGCCCGTGCTGCCTGTGCTGGAACACAGCGATTCCCTCTCGTATGGGGTGGTGATTGTGAATCTACCCCTGAGGCCCTCGCTGAATCTGTCCGCGGTGGTTTGTCCATGGGTCTCAGTGGATTCACCTTCTGGAGTTGCGATATTGGTGGCTTCGAGGGTAAGCCCCCGCCGTGGATCTACAAGAGGTGGGTTGCCATGGGTCTCTTGTGTAGCCACAGTCGACTTCATGGAAGCAACTCTTATCGTGTACCCTGGACTGTCGATGACGATGATACTACGGAGGAAGGGTGCTCAAAGACCCTCGCAAAGTGGACCGCGCTCAAGACTCGTCTGATGCCGTACATCTTCTCCCAAGCGATTGAGTCTATCGAAGGTGGAATTCCCATGTCTCTTCGAGCTGTCGCCCTTGAGTTCCCCGATGATCCCACCTCGTGGTTCCTTGACCGCCAGTTCATGGTTGGATCTCAACTCCTGGCAGCCCCCATCTATGAAGAGTCTGGCGAAGTGGAGTTTTACCTACCTAAGGGTAAGTGGACATCCTACTTCACTAACGAGGTCAAGTCTGGTCCCGGTTGGTTCAAAGAGAAACATGCATTTGGCACCTTGCCTTTGTATGTCCGCGAGAACACTGTTCTTGTCCTTGGCAGCCGTAAGGAGGTTGGTGCTGCGTATGACTTTGCCAGCAATGTCGAGGTTGCTCTGTACCAAACTTCATCTGGTTCGAAGACTTTGGTAGTGGACGGCGATGGTAACACTGTTGCCGAGCTTGTTGTTGGTGATGATGGTAAGCTTCAGGGTACCGAAAAGCTCAATGGCGACTACAAGGTTACGGAGAAGGGTCGTGACTTGGAGGGGGATGCTCCTGTTTCGATTGAGTCATTATAATAGAGCTGAGCTTGTGAAGCTTATTTGTGTATACATGGCGTTACCATCCATGAGCAGGAATATATAGGCTTTGATGACTGAACTGTACTTTGTGTCTACTCGTTGACTTCTTTAGATCAACTGATATAAACACAATATTGATAAACACAATACTGATAAACACAATACTAATAAACACAATACTGATAAACACAAAGAACCAGCCGGTCAGTCTCGGTGATATCAGCCATTAAACTCGGCATCTATTAACCCGATATTCTGGTCATTGGCCAAACGAGAACATGCAAGAAGCTTTGTTGGTGTAACTACTATACCCGAAACTTTACATCCCAGAGCTGGAACATGTAAAAAATGGTGGTCAGTACCAACATAGATCTCATTCTTCATGTCACTCTACTTAGTCTAAAGTTCCGACATAGCTGCAGCAGTTCAAAGAGTACTCTTCACAGCCATCCGTAAAACTCACCCCCACTGAGGCTCCACTGCCAAAGCGAAATCGAGGGCATTGGGGGTTTCCCAAAGAGGAAAATCCAGGCGGTCCAATGCTACATGATTGGCCGAGTACTATCGTGGACTGAGAGAGTGGGATGGGGGTATTGGAAGGGCCTAAAGCTTGCTGTAGATTCATACATAGCAGGTTCGGTGTTAACTTAGCATATCAAAAGGTGCTGGATTACCTAGTTAGAGCTCTTGATTCGTCTAATATCCAAGCCCGGCTCCCATGATGCATCTGGGGATATGTTCAATTGACAAGTGCAGATCTCACTCTTCGTTCCTTTGTAGGAATTCCTACAATATGGCACAGTTCTCATTAACACTGAAGTTTTAATCTATAGTACAAGTTAATGGTTATTTCACCTGGCCAATGGCATAATTTCATGCAAAACGTTCGCAGTATAGGTTGGTTGGTATGTCTTATGCCCTTGTTACCTGTGCATGACCTAGCGTTGATCTGCAAGAACTACGGGCTCGGTGTCCGTGAATAAATCTTTGGTGAATTTTCTATCATCGTATGGTATTGACAGCATGTGAGACTGAGGAAGGAAGGATGGAATATCCACATATCTCATGATCATCTATGTCCGGGTGCGGTCTATCAAACCCCGACCAGAGACCTGATTGGTCCGGCTGTAAGTGAAAGCAAGAAGGATCAAAGGCACCTTCACTGCTAGACTCAATATGCATCTGTGAGTCTGCATTTAGCCGGATTGCAAAGAACTCGGACAAGGGGCTATACGCCGATGTCCTGTCTCGCCCGGGTCTATCATAGATGTGGCTGACAGACGGCATATGATATGGCCCAATGACTGATCAGATCATCATCGTGGTTCAACTTTTACATCAAGAAACAGGTCTGCAGCAATGCTTCTTGGCTCGGCCCTGAGGCATGCTGGTTTTGCTTTCTCTGGGACAATGAACCAATAAACGGCAATGAAGAGGAGTGGCCGACATACTATTTCTCCGGCCACTCGGGGCCGACCCAAAATCATCTCAGGGGAGCCATGCAAGACCCATCACGACTCGGCCTTTGCGTGCCGTGTTACATCTTACATAGTACTAGCCGATAGAGACATTTTATGGTCGAAAATCTACGGAGAACCCCGTAAACAAAGCCTTGCCGGTCACGTTGATCACTTCTGAACATGACGGAAGTTTACACTTGCGTAATTATGTTTGCACCCCATTGCTCAGTAACATGATCGCTATCGAGACATCCCTTTGACGCTCTCTGTAGACTTGGGTATGTGGGACCACCGGGATCACAGTGACCAACATCTTGGGGAATATTGATCATGACACTCACTATTGCTTTGGGAGAGGCGGCCATATAAGTAGACTCCCGAGCCACTGTTAACCACCCTAAAGTATCTTAATCCCATCGCCCCTAATACTTGAAGCACTCAATACAACAGATTCCAATTACTTGTATAACTAAACTATACGGGATAGTCTACGGGTATCATCATGGGGAAAGCCTATAACATTGGCCTGGCTTGCTTTGCAGCCATAGGGTGCGTACAAATCCTATACTATCACGGATGGAATTCCCAGTCATTCTGGTATGGATAATAATGGTCATCTCTTGAGTGCAGGTCCTTTCTCTTTGGTTACGACTCTGGTGTCATGACTGATGTCATTGCCTCGAAGCACTTCCAGAACTACTTCGATACTACATCCACTTCCTCCATCATAGGTGCCATTAACTCGACTTTCAGCGGAGGTGCTGTATTTGGAGCGTTGTTTGGTGGAGTCATCATGGATAAGTTCGGCCGAAGAAAGACTATTGGCATTGGTGCCTTTATCTGCACGGTCGGCGGAGTCCTTCAAGCTTCTGCTTACCAGTATGTACTCAGCTACTAACGTTGACATACCTCGTTGACTAACACATCGCGTAGTCTTGCCATGATGTTGGTTGGACGAATCATTGCTGGTTTCGCCGTTGGCTTGCTCTCCATGAGTGGTAAGGCTATTGTATACAGCCTCATGAATTCACGTTACTGACGAGCACTATAGTCCCAGTATATCAATCGGAATGCGCAAGCCCTAAGAACCGAGGTCTCATCGTTGGACTTGCCCAGCAAATGATCGGAGTCGGTTTCATTGTATCTACATGGGTTGGTTACGGCAGTCATCACATGCCCGATACTTCGTCCTTCCAATGGCGTTTCCCTCTTGCGTTCCAGGCATTTCCTTCTGCTCTGTTGTGCTTGGGCATGCTCTGGCTCCCAGAAACTCCTCGCCATCTTATTGCTACTGACCAGTTGGATGATGGCATGAGAACGCTCCGAAAGCTACACTTTGACGGCTCAAACGAGGAATGGATCAAGTCAGAATTCAATGAAATTAAACTGACTATCGATGCCGAGAAGTTGGCTACTGCACCGGGCTGGATGATTATGTTCAAGGTGCCACAGTGGCGGAAGAGACTCATGCTCGGAACTCTGGTTCAAGTATTCACTCAGTTCACTGGTAAGTGATAGTTGCATCGCTTGGACTGCGTGTCCTATGATAAAGAAAGTTGCTAACATCAGTTCTAGGAATCAATGTAATTGGGTACGTGGTATCATCGCTCCATCTCTCAGCTTCACCTTTGTCATGCAAAACTTCATTCCAGGTGAATATAACATAACATTGCTAACATAAAATAAGATACTATCAAACCATCATGTATGAGAGTCTTGGAATCACTGGCAAAACGAATCTACTTGTCGCAGGAATCTACAACTGCACAGGCCCTGTTGCAAGTAAGCTAGAGGCCCTATCATACAACATAACGCTCGCCAGAATACTTTGCTAACACTGTACAGATTTGGTCTTTATTACCTTGATCTCAGATAGAATCGGTCGAAAACGACCTCTGATTTATGGCATCGTTGCCATTTCTATCGCTCTGGTTCTGGAGAGCGTTGTCAACAGCCAAAACGTCGACGGCACCCACCATGGCCTCAGTATCGCTGGCGTTGCTTTCTTGTTTTGTGTCACGGTTATCTTCTCGTTGTCTTTTGGTCCCGTCAGCTGGACTTACATGGCCGAGATAATGCCTTACCAGATAAGAAGCAAAGGGTGTGCCTTCGCTACCGGTATTGGTAACTGGCTTGTTTCTACCTTCTGGAACCAAGTCAGTCCCCTGGCACTCAAAGAGCTAGGCTGGAAGTTTTACTTTCTCTTCGTTGGTAAGTAAATCCCTGTGACCTATTCAGGGTTGTCTGGCTCATAGTGAACAGCGTTCAACATTGTTGTTACTCTACCAACTCTCATCTTCGCTTTCCGAGAGACAAAGGGTCTGTCTCTCGAGGAAATCGACCTTTTGTTTGGAGACCGAGCACTAGGAAACCTCCCGGCTGATATCGAAAAAGATGGCGGTACCGTTGCTGTAACTAACTCGCACGAGGAGAGGTCTAAGCGGGAACTATAGTCTTTTTTGTACCTAATATGGAGTTAAATACGTCACTCACAGTCACGACTTCGTAGCACTAGCATATATAACATTTTATGGACATAGGCTTTCGTACTGAGGCGAGGATTGATAGACAGAGGTTAACCACAGTTACTACAAAGGTTCGCTTTTCGTGCCTGACCTGCCATCACTGACTAGAGGAGGAAGCTAGATACCTAAGATATCTGGAGAGTAATTAGTGCAAGATCATTCGACGTGATACTGAGCCATGGCAACTATTTGTGCTGTACGGATACAATTTCAAATCAAACCAAATTCACCCTCTCTTTCCATGTGCGATACGAGCGAGTATGTGAGAGCCCTTCGTCGTTGTTATTTCTTGTACAACGTCCGTTATGAAACTAAATAGGGTTTCCACGGAACCGCCGTGTTTATGAGCCTCAGCCATGTTGATGCCAATACTAAAGATCAACAATATATATACGATCCCCTTTGGCCGGACAACGTATGCATGTACATATAGTAACTCGACCAACGCGATGATTCGGGGAATTGATCGTGGGCGTCTCCCGATGTTTGTTTCTAGGGTCATGGTACCAAATTGTGAGTTCCAGGTCAATAATCACCAATCGCAATTATAACCAGTCCGGTATGGTGTAGTGGCTAACATTTCGCGCTCTCATAACTTGAGAGATCAGTACCGCGGAGCCCAGGGTTCGATTCCCTGTACCGGAGTTTCCTTTTTGCCGTTTGATGATCGAACTTGAATTAGTCCTCCATCACCCATAGCGACAGGTCAACCGACATAGCTAGCTGGCTAGCTATCTATTGTTTATTGTGTTATAAGAAAGTACAGGCAGGAGGCATTGAATTGCATACTTTGTTGATTTAGTTAGTATATTAACTCTATTATAAGATTACAATAAAACATGTGAAAACTATTCTATTTTCTCTTCCACTATAATTGACATTGAACCAATTCAAGACTTCATTAATTCCTTAAAGACAATCTGATATCCTATCTGTTATCGCAGTCGTGGAGTGCTCTATCCGGCACCGGTCATTTTATCATCCGGATTTTGGCCAATTAGGAGAGACCGCGCACGGAAATGTGGTCATGGGCTACGGGAAGGCGGGCAGCAGCCTCGCTTCCTGTTCCAGCTTCTCCTCGTCCCAACACCCGATCAAAATTGTTTTTGATCAAGTATACCACGTCAACACGGCCTTTTCTTTCGAATTGGGGCTTACCCCATTTCCTGGCATTGCGATTAATCTTCTATCTTCAACATATTCTTCCAAACGCGCCTGGACGGCCTGGCGCTCACTCGTCGCTTCTCGACATTCATCCATCGAGTCGGCTCTTGGATCCAATAACTGCCCGCCATGGCGTCGCAACAAATTCTCTTCGCCGAGACAATAGCGGGCATGAAAAAGGCTTTTAAAAGGAAATCATACGGTACGCGAGCATCTTTGCGCTTTTCGCGCCCAGGGGATCCTAAGCTGACCCTACCAACCACAGAGTCCGACTCAGATTCCGAAATCGAAAGCTATAGTAACCGTGGAAATAAGCTCAAGAAAAAGGCGCGGTTCGCTCGGCAAGGACAATTGGTTCCCAACAACGGCCCAAGCTCGTACAAAGAGGTTCGTTCTATGGACAAGCCCCTCCTGCTCAAGTCTAACATTGTCAGTATGTCGAATACGCAGGAGTCTGTCGCCCAATCCTTTATCGCAATCCTCCTTTAGTCGACGAGGAAGGATACGAAATAGACAGCGACGACGAGGATGAAGAGCGCGTTCAGGAAGCTGAGGCCTCTGCCGCAGAGTTGAACCCTTATGCCAATATCCAAATTGAGAGTATGTGAACCACTCTGCAGGCCAATCTCACGACTAACGGAAGCAGATATCCTTGCACCCCTCACTTCATCGACCGCCTTGCCGACACACCCAACCCTCTCGAAGCCTTTTACATCAAAGACCCTCACGCGGCTTGTTGATCAAGGCTGCGACATTATGCGCAAAGAAAACCGTTCCTTGTGGAAGGTCAGACACCTCCTGACAGCGTTATGTGGCGACTACACCTGGGCTCCATGCGAGATGATGGTCCGGCCGGCGGATGTCGAGCTTTACACAGATAATCACATGGCGCGCCATCTACTAGCCCTGTCCCAGGCAGTATCGGCGCTCCCTGCAATCACTAACGGCGATGTTGGAGTAACTCAAAACGGCGTCATAGCAGGAGATGCTGTTCTAGACACAACTTTGGTTGGAGAAACCATGGACAAAGACACAGCAGAGGATGCTGATATAACCATGACAGACGCTGGAACTGCCGACCCGGACGATTCCCATCTGGAAGACGCTGGCGAGGCCGAGAAGATGGATGTCGAAAAGAGCGCGGATACAAACTCGAATATTCCGAACGGCGAGCAGGCCCCGGCTGAACAGTCCGATTCCGCGAAAGTGATCCAGGTTGAATCAACAAACGTGGCCAACGATGGTTTGAATGAGCAGAAGCAAGATAAAATCCGAGCAGACAGAGCCGAAACCTCTGGACAACAGGCAACTAGCGGTGTACATCAACAGAGCGAGCTAGTCGAGCGAATAATACCAGACGCATCTCTGGTTTCTGAAGGAGAGGATGACTTTATTCACCCTCTGTTTCTTGCACCTGCAGGGGCAAGACCAGACAGAGACATTGGCTTGCCAGATCAGGAAGCAGAAGATATCCGACGACTTCTTGCTCTATATGTGCAAAAACAAGAAGAGGTATGCCGAGGGGCAAAGAAGTTGTTCTTGGGACTTCTCAAAGCTGAGCAGCTGCGCAAAGATGTGCTCCACTGGTCCAAGGCAGAAGCTCATTCAGGGCTCAACCGAGACATGTCGGATGGTGAGGACTGGTACGACAAGGAGGAATGGGGCCTGGCAGAAGATCTGAAGAAAGGGCAGGACGAAGAGGAGGAAGACGTCCAAACAACAGGCAAAAAGACAAGAAATCGACGGCAATAACGCCGAGTTCTCTCGCTGTTATATATTGGGATGATAATGACTGGTTTGTCGGGTTTAATTGTTTGGGCGTTCAAGGATGGCGTTTGGAACACACGCGAGATAGGCCTTGATGCCAACCGCGAGAAGAGCGCATGGTTTTGCATCTATAGATATGAATGTTGAAGCATTTTCTCTTTGGTGATTCTGATCACTTGATTCATTCATTAGTTTACTCAGCTTTGCTCCTCTTTGGTGGGTGCGTGAAGGAACATTGATTGATTTGGTTCATTGGTTGCAGGGATGTTATGGAGATGCGAGTGGGCGAATGCTGGTCGACCCCAGCCCCGCTGCTTGGCCATTATGACGCTGCCCATGACCCTGGACAGGCCCTCTCATCTTTCGCTTTCCAGTCACTTCCGGGCATGTGACAGGACAGGTAGGACATGCAAGACAGCGTAACTTACCTACCTACCTATTCCAGCTCTCCTAGTTTTCTCTTTCTCTTATTTTCTCCGCAAACTGTCAGTCATAACAGCAAGCAAAAGTTGACTGTCTCTACTCTTTGATCATCGCTGTTCTTTGTGACTTACACGTGAACTTGTTACGTCAGTGATCACGACTTTTACTTTACCTCACTTTACTCTTCGTTGCCTCGCACTTCATTAGCTGTCATCATGGGTATCATGGCTCTTGGTCCACAAGACTTCCTCGACTATGTCAACTACGACAAGCAGAGTTTGTACAGTGAGTTGACTTAACTTTGCCTCTGTTGAACAGTGAATCTAATTCGGTTCGTTTGCTCGTCTTAGTCTCAGCTGCCTCCATCGCCTTTAATCCGCTCTTCTGGAAGTGAGTTGTTTAGTCCCAATGTGACGACCTGGCATTGTTAACTTATTTCTCCCAAGTATCGTCGCCCGTCAAGGTATGCATAAGCTCGCTATTTAACAAGCGCATCGTGCTCTAGTATCGACTAACACTGACCTGCTAAAAAGAATACCACAACAAGCTTCTGACAAAGCTCTTTGGTGGAAACTCCAAAGCTGCTTGCTATGCCCTCGCCATCACTATCTTTTCTCTGGGTATGGTTCGCGACTTGATTTACAAGAATGCCATCTCTGAACAGCCTACGCATCCCGCTCTTGTCAACGACTACATACGGGCTGCTGCTGCTACTCTCTTTGTCGCCGGCAACGTCTTGGTTGTCACTTCGACCTGGCGACTTGGCATTACTGGTACATTCCTCGGTGACTACTTTGGCATTCTTATGGACGAGATGGTGACTGGCTTTCCCTTCAACGTGACTGGCTCTCCCATGTACACTGGCTCTACATGCAGTTTCCTCGCTACCGCTCTGTGGTATGGCAAGCCTGCTGGTGTCCTGCTCACCATCTGGGTCGATATTGTCTATAAGCTCGCCCTAAGATACGAGGACCCCTTTACTTCTGGGATCTACGCCAAGCGTGAGCGTGAGCGTGCTGCGGGTAAGAAGTCAAACTAAGCTTACCAGCTACACCCGTCGTTACTCTTGCAAGTGAAAAGACAAAAAGAGTAACCAGATGTCATGACGGCAGTGCACCATTCGCGTCTATACATAAAAAGGCCAGCGGACGGAAATGGGACACATGACAATACGATACAATATGCTATTGTGCAATATGCACCAGGCTGGCACAGGAAAGCTACGCCTTTCAACAGGCCGGGTGCCTCTCAACAGGCTTAAGGAGTTTTTCGGATACAGACACACATTTATACCATGCTATTACCGACACCAATCAGTCGACGGGCATAAGACAATACATTTCATTCTACACCAATACCAAAAATACATTGCATTCGATCATGAGATCACACATGTGAACAAGCATCATGTTCCTTTCATGACACCTACTCGAGACTGCATCTTGACCACCGTCTTCTGGTAAACACCTCTGGGCGATTATTGTTTGCTCTGAGTGTCACGATATACTATGTTTGGGTGGTAATAAGTTCAGTAGGAAGTTGGTTTCCAGAGCACACAAAGTTGAGAACATCGCATACCGTCTTTACTGGAGGTTCGGGGGTGGTAGTCCATTCACACATGTCTTGCCAGATTTCTGCTATCAGACAGTAGTAGAAACAAAGTAAGAACAAGCCTACAGTAAAGTCAAACCGAAATACACAAGATATTTCATCTTTCAAAGCTACTAAGCCTTTCTGTTCATTCCTCATAAGTTGATTTGAGAATCTACTTTACATTCCAATAGTCCTATAACAAAACAAATGGACTCTTTAACTTTACATCACTCCTCATGCACCGTTCTAAATCAGCCAACTGGTCCCATTTTTACCATCAACATCGACTCCAGTCTTGCCCAAGTTTCGATCATTTATGCCTCAGAGGGCTTATCGTTAGGGAGAAGGTCAACAGCTGTAGCCTCAACGGGCTTCTTCTCTTCAGCAGGCTTCTGCTCTTTTGAAGCTTCGCCCGCCTTCTCAGCTTGGCGCAAAGCGAGCTTCTTTTCCTTCTTCTTATCCTTGGCAGCCTTTTTGGCCGCGGCCTTTTCAGCCTCAAGGGCCTTCTGCTTTCGAATCTCCTCGCCACCGAAGGCCTCGCGCCACTCGTCAAGCTTGGATGCAGGAATCTGTGTAAAGAGAAGCTTGGGCTCGCCAATCTTTTGACCGGGCTTGATGAGATCGCCAGTCCATGTTTCGGGGATAGAAACAAGACCGGGGCTACCAATCTGCTCAAGAATGGCATCGGAAGTCGAGGGCATGTAGGGGTATACAATACTGGCAAGAAGTTGCAGGTGGTTGATACCGAGACCGATGACAGCGGCACAACGGTCAGGCTCATCGGCAAGAAGCTGGTTGTTCAGCTTGCTGTCTTGCAAGAGCTTGTTACCAAGGGCGGAAATATGCATGACGGAAGCAAGACCAGCACGAAGCTTGATGGCATTGAACTGGGCGATGAAGGTCTTGAGAGCCTCGTTGACTTCCTTCTTGTGCTCTTCCAGTCGCTCATCCGTGTACTTGGTGTAGTCTGGTACAACACCGTCCAGCTTGGCCTGGGTAAACTTGAGAATTCTCTGGTTCAAGTTACCAAGGTTCTTGAGAAGATCGTTGTTATTGCAGTCAATGAATTCCTGCCATTTGAATTCAGAATCGGCAGTTTCAGGTCGTCTTGACAGAAGGTAGTATCGCCAGACATCAGGATCAACGCCAGTTTCCTTGGCAGTGTTACCGAACACACCAACACCGCGAGACTTGCTGAACTTTCCGCCCTCGTAGTTAAGATACTCGGTTGTTGACATCTTGTGGACCTTGGTCCAGTTCTCTCCTGTTCCAAGTTGAGAAGCAGGGAAGATGATAGTGTGGAATCTAATTGACTTGCGTTAGTAAACACTCTGCACACGGTGCCTTTGGCTAATGGGGACCGTCAAGATTCGGGTTCACTTACGGAACGTTGTCCTTGCCCATGAACTGGTAGAGCTTGACATTCTCGGGGTTCTTCCACCACTTCTCCCAGTTTGTACCGTCCAAGTTATCACCATCCACCAAGTTCTTGGTAATGGAAACATAGCCAATGCAGGCATCGAACCAGACGTAAAAGACCTTCTCGGCGTACTCTTCATTGCTCAAACCTTCAAGATCCTGGGGGATTGGGACACCCCACTTGAGATCTCGAGTGATACCACGGGGGAGGAGACCCTTATCGATCCATGACTGTGTGATGGAGATACAGTTGGTGCTCCAGTCTCCTTCCTTGCTGCTCTTGTGGAACCAAGGAACTAGAAGATCCTTGACGGCATCGAGTCGGAGGAAAAGGTGCTTGGTCTTTCGCTTCTCGGGGGTGGTGCCATCGACCTTGCAGCGGGGGTTGATCAGGAAACCAGTGGCCTTGGCCTCGACGTGGTCGTCCTCTGAAGCACTGGGTTCGCGCTCGGGCTCGAAAGGGTCAAGGAGTCCACCACAAGCATCACATTGATCTCCACGAGCGCCGAGATCGTGGCAGATGCTACACTCTCCCTCGACAAAACGATCAGCGAGGAACTTGCCGTGGTTGGCATGTGTACAGAAGGGCTGGGTAGTCTCCCGCTCCTCAATGTAGCCATTCTTCCAGAGTTCCTTGAAGATCTGCTGCACAATCTGTGTTTGTTGCTGGGTGGGTGTTCGGCCGAAAATGTCAAAGTCGATTCGGAACCAGTCGTAGACTCCCTTGTGAAGGGCGTGGTACTTGGCGCAAAGGTCGGCGGGCGAAAGACCTTCCTCGAGAGCCTTTGTTTCGGTAGCGGTACCATATTCGTCAGAGCCACAAATGTAGATGGTGTTGTAATCTCTGGCTTTACAGTAGCGAGAAAACACATCAGCAGAAAGAACACTGCCGATGATGTTACCCAAATGTGGGATGTTGTTGACGTATGGAAGGGCAGAGGTGATGAGGATGTTGCGCTTGCCCTCCACGGGGAGGATTGGTGATTTGGAGGCCATTATAGGCAGTTAGTAGTCGCAGCCAGTGGTTAGATGAACTTCTGTAGGCTGTAAGTAGATTTTGCGTCGATGTTTGCGAAATATTTGTGAGTCACAGAGCTGCGATAACGCCGTTGACAGTCAAAATTCGTTGCTGAGGTGGTATGGCGGGGGCGGGGGAGGGGTGACCAAAATTATCTATGTCTGGGTCTAGGGTAGGCTCAGATCGATGTTATTGAAGTGGGTGCATTTGAGGCTCCCTACCTACCTAGGTACCTATCATCAATTTGCTTTCAACTATCTCATATAGCTTGTCGTGTACAGATCCAACAGTATCTTATGTGAATGCCTATTGATTGAGTGATAATACTGAAGCTCAGCTCATTACTGCACGGTGGTACATCACTGAAGTGAAGGGTGGAAACATTACAGAGATCTTTTGAAATGCAATTTGGGCAAGCATTACCAGTGGAATATGAACGGTTTCAGGACATGGAAAGCCTCCATGTCACAAATCATCTTTTTTCTAACATCTTCTCTGTGGCCTATCAGAGAGCCATGTCCAACTCTAATTAGAGCTTCACATAGTAATGTCCCTTTTTCGGATGACCCTGAAAGCTAGAAGTGACGACAGTCGACCCACCAAAGCTGGCAAGAGCCCCGCGTCACGGCCCGCGACCAAGTAACTAAACCCCACTATCCCTCCTTCTGTTACGGCAGTAGCGAGTAGGTATGCGCCTGACTGCCTGGGTACTACTCGATTGGAGCTACTAACCATACCTTGATTTGCCTTTCCTCATCCTACCTACCTACATTGCCTGATAGTTTCTTTGTTGTTACAAACACTTCTGCCTTCAGTCAACAGCTCGGGAAACTATCGTCTCTAGTCGCGTCACCGAAGCTTCGCATTGTGTCGTCTGACTATTGGCTAACCCCACATTCCTTGGTCTACCATCATTCATCAGATACTTGAGCTATCCAGAGCTATCGTAGCGCTTGAGATAGCATCGTCCTAGCATTATCAGGGAACAATATCGCAAGGACTTTAACGTACGCAACATAAACTACATACGGAATTTGTCAATATAGTTCATCATGAGTGTGTTCGCAACGGTAAGGTCACTCTATCCGACATGCATGTGCCAAACTCTACGGCTGCGACGTTACTCGTTGGCAACTCCTTTGAGCTATTTATATGCCACTGGTCCGCATTGAACAATCGTATATCAACTGGCTAACACTACTATAGAAGAAACCGTTCTCGGCCGTGACTGTCACAGTCGAGAATCTTACCTCTGAGGCGTATGAAGAGGAGGATTTCAGTGGTATCCCCGAGCTCGTCGAAGTCATCACTTTGCAAGCCACTGGCCCAAGCGAAGCAGCTCGCGCTCTTCGGAAGAAGCTCAAATATGGAAACGTCCATCGCCAGATCCGTGCACTAGTTCTCCTCGATGGTCTTATTCAGAATGCTGGCGAGAGGTTCCAGCGCACCTTTGTTGACGAGCCTCTGCTTGAGCGTCTACGTGTTTGTGGCACTTCTGACTTATCTGACGTGGCCGTGAGAAATAAATGCAGGGAGCTTTTTCGCTCATGGTCGCAATACGCCGGAAAACCGGGACTCGACAGTCTTTCACGACTTCACAGGGTGAGTCACAGCTGCTGAAAGCTCCTATGATTATATGCTCATTCTTTCAGGAACTTCCCAAGAGGAAGCAAGCTGTCACTCAAGAGCGATCCAAGGTCCTCAAAGAAACAGAAGAAAACCCATTTGTCGATGACGAACAAGAAGCTGCGGCAAAGGCTGCCCGCGATGCACGAAACGCCTCGGGCCCTTCAAATTCAACCCCTCTGTCTGGTTCAGGATTTGGTCATGCACCTTCCAAATCCTCATCCGGAGGCAGTTCCTTCTTCGGCGGTTCCAAGGACAAAAAGAAAGATAAGGATAAGGCCAAGGGGAAGCGAAATCCTTTCAATCTCGAGGCTGAGAAGGATCAGATGAAGTCTGTCATTGCCGACTCCTCTATTGCAGCCACGAATTTGATGAATTCGCTTCAAAGCGTTAACCGCGAAGTTGAGCGCATTTCGGAAAATCAAGTTGCGGTGGAACGTTTCGAAGCCTGTAAGCTCCTGAGACGAAAAGTTTTGCGTTATGTAAGTCATCCTCGAAGTTGCTTCTAATGTATTAAGCTCATGGTTGTCAGGTTCATCATGTCGAAGAAGAGCAGTGGTTAGGAGGGTTACTCCACGCCAATGACGAGCTTGTCCACGCTCTCATGTCATTTGAACAGTTCGATTGCTCTATTGACGCGGATAGTGACTCTGATGACGAACTTGCTGAGCAAGCCCATCTGTACCGAAGTATGTGTCGATGTTTTCTTTAGTCAGGCTTCAGCTAACTCTTCATAGTGGCTACGATCAAAGGCAAGGAGGCCATGGCCAAAGCAGCCGCCCAGTCTCCAACTACTTCGCAACCCCCAGATCTGTCCGAGCTGAACATTTCACATTCTCCTGCTCATGCTGCTCCTCCTCGCCCTCCTCCAATGTCAAAGCCTCACTCAAACCCACCTCCCCAACCCCCACGGCCGGCAGCAGTGTCTCCGCCTCCACAGGATGAAGAGGATGACGATGACCCTTTTGGAGATTCACATGCACTCGATACACCTTCACACGAGCGCGAACAGCCTAGGTGGTGACGATCGAAAGCAGGCGTCAATATCGGTAGTTTGAATAGTTGAATTTAGGCACAGGCTTTTGTTGGTTAGAACATTTAGGCACGACATTAACAGTGCTATTATCAAAATATCTTTACCATTTCGTCCTTCTGTCAGTATTAATGTTTAACGATTACTCAACGAGCCTCCATGTAAGATCCGATGGTGACATGTGTAGGTTAAGTTTTGGCATGACAGATCACCATTTGAACACCACAATTATATGTAATCAACTCAAGCTAGAGGTAAGCATAATCAATTATAAAAGAAATTTTATGTAGAATTCATGTTTGTATTTGACTCTGAACTCCTAACACGTCTGATTAGTTATCTATCATGACTGTCGGCAGAGTTCGAGCAGTGCGTGTCATTGCGAGTACATCACTTTGACGAGCTAGGCGCCAGAAAACCCTACGCATAATGTGGCTAGACTTGGACTCCATCAATTTCAGGCCTCTCATCTTACCGTGTATGATTGTTAGGATCCCGAGTCAGTTCATTCGCTTGGTATTGTATTCCCATGGTACTAATCGCGGGTCTCTTCAGCCCGAGATCACCCAGACCGCCTTCGCTCAACACACGGTCTGATGCGGCCGTGTCGGTGTGGGCGTCTCGCTGCACACTCCCCATATGTACCTCTTTACCGTACAACGTGTGCAGCTCATATGCATGAATGCGTGGAGTACCGAAGTGTTGATCTCCATACTGCAAGCAATAAGGTGCAATCTACAGCATTTCGTCTGCTGTATAGATCTTGCGGTCAACAAAGCAAAAGGACCTGCCCCAAGTGCCATGAAGCAGTACAGCAGAGTATTAAATAAGATTTAGTTCCCGTTGTCACCTAGGAAAAAGCAAAAGAAAAAGGAAAGTTTGCGAAATTCTTGTATGTAGATCTAATACACAAACAAACAGCCTGTTTCCTGACAGTTCCGATCGAAATAGTGTCAAGGAAGGGCACTTGCTCCCATGTTTAATTGCTTGTGCTTGATCTGCACAACCTGTCATGATCCTGACCGCATGTTGGCTATTTACGCTTGTCTTACGTTAGAAATTGCCCGACTAGACTACACGAGAAATGTAGTCTAGAGGCGACTCAGGCACACAGATCTGCTTGTTGAAGATTACCGGGATACGGCGGGGTCCTCGTTCACGTTGCATTGATCGGACATGGCGGTATGGACATATGTAGACTTGGACTGCTGTCGGCACGAGAAAGATAATTAACTGCCGCATCAAAGCTGGCATGGTGATGGCATGGCGCGTTCCTGAACAGCTGGCCGAAGCTTCTTGATCGACATGCCCGTCTCGCTTGTTGGAAGCGTTGTGAACAGGGCAGCGCAACTCGCTTTCCAACCAACGCATAATCCCAAGGATAGTCAGCTCGGAAGTGTGGGACGATTCTGGCCAGACCTTTCTCATGGTTGCGTTGTTATTCAGGCACGCTCTCATTGTGCGGTCAGCTTGAGCGCAAGAGAACGGTGACAGGCTGAGACAACTGTTTGGCACCACAAATACTTGAATAGGAAAAGAAAATGCGGGAACGCGCAGGTAGGTGTCCATCCCTAAAACCGCGTCGACGGCAATCTCAGCCCGGACCACCAGACGAGTCCACTTAGTCGTGGAGCAAGTAAAGTAGTAATTAGAGAGGCTGCAGGAGATTGCATACAGTACCATAGTACAGCAGCCCCGACAACACACGTCCACATGATCATTCAGGAGCTTCTCGTCTTGATTAAATTGCCAGCCTTGAATCACCAACCACTATTGCTCTCAAAGCAGACCCCACCTCGCCGGAGCCTAGTGTGAAGCGATTTCAGTCGTCGTGACCAAGTCCAGGTTGGTGGGTAGCAAGGTACCTTGTACTGAGAGGTAATGCTTCGGGTTTCTAGCGTCACATCTGGGGAACATGATGAAAGAAGACCAACGTTAATTGCGGCAGAAGCAAATGTGTGTACATACTGACATGGAACGAAAGTCCTCGTGGCAGCCATGGGCCAAAGACACCCCTGCGTTGGCCCTGCGTTGGTGTGTGTGCTCCTTGGTGTGGAGGGGGAAAGTCAAAGCCTGCATTCAGCCCTGAGAGACTCACTCTTTGACTCCGCTGCTCCACTGCTTCTGGAAGCTTTCCATCATTTGTTTCATCCTCCGGACCTTTGGGCACGTTCCTAGGCTCAAAATGCGGTGCAATTCAGGGACCCCTGGGAGAATACAGTGAGATAGGTTTCGACAATACAAAAGCGAAGAAATAATTCCATCTATATCGCCCACGTTATCAATGTAAATATAGTATCCGCGTCGCGAGCCATGACATCCCGATGCGGTTTGCATTGGTGTAGCACGAAACAACCAACTGTTGGTTGTAGGCTATTTTACATTCTTTCACGGATGTAGTGAAATGTCGATCACCAGACAGTTCTAGCAATTGCTGGCCCCACGACCCAAGTTTAGATTCGAGTCATTGCACGGTTGCGCTGCTGTTACAAGGAAAGCTTTGATACGATCGACCAAAGACATTCATTGATTGTAATGGATTTGCGACACCCGAAAGCCTTGACCAGCTGAGTTTCTCGGCCATATGCGGTACATTATGATGTATTTTTTTTCTCCTCTCGAATCCTTTGTTTCAAGTTGATCATGGCTTCGTCTTCAGGAAGCCACTAAACAAAGATGTTTAAAAGGACAGCCGTGTTTCTTAGCAAAGATGGCTTGTCGTCTTCGACAATGGAAAAACACATCATGCTGTAGCTTACTGCATGACCCTTGAGGTTATTGCGGTTCTTGAAACAAAGATGTTATTTGTGCCACCTGCGCTAGGGCGGAGAATAAGGTCGAACTGTTTCATCCATGCTTCGAGTCTCTCAAGGTCTGTGTCCGAGCACAAAGCGCACGTAAGAGGACAGAAGGTATTTCGCACAGCCGCCAAGCTTTTCGCATTTAATCTTTCAAGCCACTAACCTTCTTGGTAGGGTCGGTGTATCGCCTTCGCCGAAAATGGCGTACGGATGGCGGGACGAACTGACTGGAATGGTGTCGCTACTGACAGCTCCCCAGCCTAACTTTGTCTCCTAATAATTCTAATAATAAGTGACATAGATGAAGCTTCGCTGATGTAAAAGAGGGGACGTCTGAGCATGCTTGGAACCTCAAAATTGGTATGTGCGCAATACTTCTGGAAGGGTTCTTGAGTGGGTTGATCACTTTGCTTGCCCATGTCTTGGATACTGAGACAAACTCAAGCCACACGAGTGATACTGCTCATAACATGTGGAAGCAGTTCGCCCCTTGCCTATCATCCTGGAGCCTTTGCTCTAACGGTAGTTTACGTGTGCTACAGAGTACAGAGTACAACAAAGCTGATCAAGTCAACGGTTGCTGACAAACATGGTCAGCAGCCCAAGACCGTCGTTGGTCAGACGACGTCCACCTCAGTTGTACACGGATGAGGGGTTCTGTTGGCTGTTGGTGTCGTATGTTTCTCTTTGCATCTTGAAGTAATGAAATGTGATAAAATAAAAGCCTCGTCGACTGTTGAAAGTTCGGTCAGACTCCGATACCCCCACGTCTCCTCGAATGCGATTTCTCAGCTGTTATGGTTGTCTTCAATGAATATAGGGTGGGCTGAGGGAGAAGCCAAAGAGCAGATGAAAACTTGGAATACAATCAATGAGGTTGTGTTCCGGAACCGCAGCCTGATTTGTACATTTCCAGGAACCGTGTACGAGCCTTGTTTGTATTGAAAAGACAGCGGTATATATGTCCGATGAGACCATCTAGGAAGATTCTTTGCAGTATAGCCTTGGAATGCCTCATCTGTTCGCATGTGGATTTATTCTGTCTCATTGAATGGTGATAGCCTTCTGTGTTTGAGTTGCGCCACAAGTCACCAATGCATGTTCACTTAATGAGTTGCCATACAACAATTAATTCCTCTTCCACCAACGTAGTATAGCCTAGAGCGGATAGTACGCCATGGCTGCTGCACCAAAACCGCCCAGCAACTCTTTCTTGAACTTCTAGAAAGCCACCAGAACAAATAGAATTGATCCATGCTCCTTCAGCACGGGGCAATTGAAGATGGGGCCCCGAGAGCATGGGGCCAGGGCCAGTGCAAGGGCCAGGGCGGCCGGTAGAGGGCTCTTACGTGTGTCTCGAGACAGAGACAACACGGATAATCATTAAAGATATGTGTATGAGTGGGAGAAGCCGAGCGGGATCTGTCGAGAGATTTTGGGCTTGGGCAGTTTGAACTGAAATTGTGGAGGAGAACAATTAAGTTAGCACAGCTATACGGCCAGCCTACCAGCCAAGGGACATAAGTTTCATCTCTCATGCGTGGGACAATTCTAGGAAGGAGGGGTGAAATGGAAGGGAAGTGGGTGGGTGGTGAGCGGGTTGGCGGCGGGCAGGCAAAGGAAGGATCGGAATGAGAAAGTGACATCGAGGAGAAGAAGGAGGGAAAGAAGCTCAATGGAAGGAACGATATGGTCGTGGGCGCAACGCTACGCTCGGACTTGCATTGTCACAGACGCTAGATCCGCCTTTTACATTACCATTGTTCCAGAAGGTTTCTCGAAACCTTCCTCGGAGAGTTAGCGTCATCTCCGAATTTGTAATGATTGTACTGATGGCCCTGTCTAGCGTCCGAAACAACCAACCAAAGCTCAGTACCCGAGCGTAGCCCCTGCCATCCTGTCGCGTTTAATACCCAAACCTGTTAGTCTCATTCAAACTCGAGCTTCGGTGTTTTTTTCTTCTTCTTTCTGTTGCTACACCCCTTTTCAAAATTCAAGTCAACTTGACTCAACACAACGCCAATTGCTCATCAGCGTCATGGTGGATCTTGAAGACTGTACATCTGCCTTCTGACTAACTATTGCTCTCAATATCTTTTCTTTCTGTAGATTAGTACATGTCCCTCCATTAATCTACAACGCGGCACTTGCCGGCAAAGGAAAATATATCTTGGAGATGACCGTTGCCACATAGTAAAGCCAGTCTCAAAACTAAATCAGTTCAGGCGGTGTAAGCCCAGTTGTGCCTGTCCAAAAGGCAGGTCCATCATAATGAAGCTCTTTGAAAAGACTGTCAGGTACTGACGAATTAGTCCCACCTCAGCCCACTACACCTCGAGCTATGATAGGTATCTTTGTTACACAGTGCAGGGTTGTTGACTCCAACACCGGGGAGCGCCCAGACCATCCGCTTCACTTCCGATTGGGCAAATAGTAACTGGAACGACCTTCGACCCAGGAACAGCAAACATCCCATGAGCGGCAGCCTCATGCGCATTGCATGCATTGACAGCCTAGTTAAGTTGCGGACTATCACAGGGAGAAAAGAGCGGAATATGAAGTGACACCGCCTTCACCGAGTCACTGAGAAATAATGAATGTGATATGCTGTTAATCCAGGGGCAGTTTTAGGTCTTTGTTCGCATCAGTCGAGTGACGGAGCTATCGATTGCCTAAGCCGCGAATCCCTGGGCTATGTGACCAAGAACAAAGAGAAGTCATGACTGACAATCAACTAACACGAACAGGTGATCAGATATTGAAATTACAGATGTCGAGTCTCATGCAGGTTCAGGCTACGCTCTAACCGGTTTCACCGAAGTTGATGGTAACGCATGGCTGGAGATTAATTAGCCTCTACCAACAATCAGCACTTATTGTCGCCTATGGCGCAGGAAACGATTGTAAAAAGACTACTGCCAAGAGAGGTGGATTCTTATTTGAGGCAAGCCACACTAGGTATATTACATACGAGACGACACCGCCAGTATGTGTGAGATGGGTCAGGGGGTATGTATGGGCACTGAATTCTTCTGGAAGCCAGCCAGATCTACCAGCCCCGGCAGCCCAACATTACCAGTTCTGGGTATCTCTGACCGTGCCCAAATTGACGGGACCCGTTTGAAAACCCCTAGGAACAGACCTGGGTTATTTTGAGGGGCGCACGCACAATCGCAGGGTACAGGGAAGACTCATGACGTCGGTCTTGGCGGGTAGGGGTAGGCAGGGGAGAGTGATGCGTTGTACATTAATTACATCCAGGGATTCTGTTGAGGGTTGAACATCAAACAACGGGAGCTGGGTCAGAGAGAGGCCTGTTCACGATCCCGAAGGGGAGAAACAATGACAACGTCCAGAAACAAGCAAACAGAGGATGGTTTGCATATACGGGATGCATCATCTCATTGCATGGCCAAATCGTCTGGCACAGGCTTATATGTATAAACCCTGCTCACCCACTCTATGTTATTTCATTGATGATGATCCGTTGTTTGGAAACACGAGTTGACAAAATGGGAGGTGATGGGGCGTCCACTCGCAACCCACGACAACACAGCATGATATGCCGGCGGCCCAATAGGCATAATGCAGTAGGAGCGAACGATACGATCAACGTCTGAGGATCACTCGGGTCGACCAGGAATGCCTGTCTTTAAGATGCTCGCCCATTCCTAGCAGCGATCCCGTTTTTCCACGACAGATGAAAAGGACTGCAGCATGGTCCCAATCAGCATCGTTCAATAGCTTGACGCTGCAAGACCAAGGCCTGATGCTATTGTTCAGGGACGCTTCCAAGCCTATCATCGACAGCCTTTTGGCTAGACAAGGCGGCGCCTCGCTTGGGGAAGCCCTGTTCAAGGCGGTGCACTGTAGGTATGCACTGTACTGTATGCTGTTTGTGCTTGTACTGCATTGGAGGCGGCAACATGACGGGAACCATCTTTTCCGAGAACCAGGGCACCCGTTCGCCTGGTACTGTAGCCTGGATCGATGCCGTTGCAGTGGAAGGGTTTCTCGTTGCTTTTCCCTCGGGGACACTATGCTGGGTACCGACTCCATGGGACCAGGACAAAGTACATAAATGATCTACTGTTCTTTCTGGCTTGAATTATGAGAATAGCATCGTTTTACAGTATTCCAAAACAGGACGGTGGAGGCTGAATTGAAGTTGTAGGTAGCCCTCACCGTTTGTGACGTCTTGCGTGCCCATCCATCCTGGTAGGCCTGATGTACCTCATAATTGCCGGACCTACTCTCAGCTGTTCGCCTTACTGTGCTAAAATAAAATTACTGAAGTGGACTTACTGGACTCAACACTGGGCCCTGTCCTGTCCGTCTTGTTCTCAGCTCGCGTTTGCCGTGAGATGAAACCCTTCATTTTGCAGCTCCTCCACTGTCGCAGTTTGTCGATCCCTCGATCATTGCTCTCCTGCCGCATCGTGACTCGAGTTTCTGCCAGCCCCCGTCCTGTGCTTCGATCCATGTTACGGTGCCCTTTGTGAGATCTGGTGCACAGAGTCAAAACCTACGAGATCCAGCTCAAACGAAACCCTCAATGCAACGGTACTCGGCTAGGAAAAAGAAAGTAAGAAAACAAAGACGGGAACGGGAACCATACCTAAATCATCATTATCCTTTGATTGATTGATCGAATAATTATCTACCTACTACGGAGTACGTATCCCAAGTATATCATCCAAACAAACAGATGTTATTATCACCTGCGACCATCCATCAAGTGTCCGTTTGATCATTACCAACCACCAGTGTGTTAAAATTATCACATTTTCTTTGTTTGAAACTTGTCAACAAGACTCGACGACTCGTCCAAATTGCACCAACTAACCAACCTGCTTTACTTACACCTGCACTACTGTTTCCATTATCTCATCCCATTAAATCTATTTCTGGCACTTTTCTCCTGGGCTGAGGTCCGAGAGCTCTTGGCCATGCTTTATTCTTATTTTCTAAATCCTGGTTTTTGGCCTTACTCTCTCTAACTAGAGAGCCTTTAATATGGCCCCTCATGCGGTGGTCGGTATTCGCGGTCACTAAGCTGGTGTGAACTGAATTGGAAGCGTTGGTTTGGCCTTCTTTGCGCGGTGGCCGCTTTACTGAGCTGAGTCTGAGTCCCAAGTCTGCGCTCCATTCCCATTCTCGCTAGGTTATGTACGCTACCGCTATTCACGCCCTCACCTAGGTCTGGTCGCCTCCCCTGTCGTTATGTATGGGTAAGGTATGGATCCTGGGCCTGGGGAGTGCCCTGCAATTTTTTTTTTGTACAGACCCCCCTCCCCCAAAAATGGAATCCACTCTCACTTTTCCCTTCACACTCCCGGAACTGCCTTGTCACGTCCCGCCATAGGGACCCGTCCTGGAACTTGACATAAAGACTTGGCCCCTACCTGGCCCTCGATCATCGCATCGACTCTCTCTTGGTCTATTTTATCTATCACGTTCCCGACTTTTGTTGTGTTGTATTCCTCCTGAGCTTCCTGGTCTCGGACGATTAATAACAACTACTACCTACCTGCCTAATCTCATCCTTCATCCTCTTTTGTAATCCCATCTCTCCCCCGACCTCTTTACGGTACCTGCATCTGGACCAGCGGCCTGTGAACAGACCACCTCCTGATCCCTTCCACTGTCTATCGCGCCTGTGAACGACTTCATCAACCACCCGCACCCGTTGAGCCGCAGCGAAGTGTAAATTGATTTCAACTTGACATAGACGAGAGTTTCTGTTCTGTTGACTTTTCAACACCCTCACCGCCCGATTGACAGTGCATTACTTTGTGGAGGGTACAAGAAAAAAATTAGTTATAATTTTTTTCCGCCTTACCCCTGTGGTCGCCGTTCTTTCACCTTACAACCTTGCGCGTTTCGCCCTGGCACGTCCCTAGACTCCGATTTAAACGCAAACACTTTTGTCGACAACGTATTCCTGTCGCCGGCCGACCTCCTTCCTCCCTCGCCCGATACCTCACCGAAAAGCGGTCAACAAGATTTCGTGTTCACGTTCGGTGTGATCATACACGTCATTTGTTTGCATTCAAACGCGGAAAGGTAAGTCACATATTTTGTCTACATGACCCCGACCCTTGAGTGGATCTTGCATACAGGCAACATCATCCCTCGGAAACTGGCTGGACCAGCTGTAATGCCCTGGCATTCGCTGAACCATCTGCCGGTCGCCTAGGGCGATGCTGGCTGGCGCAGTGCATTCAAAGTCGAACATGTCGACTCTACTATTCCAAAATCAAGCCACTGACCATGTATCTCTAGCCATCAAACAGCTTGACCGCCTTCCTGTCGTGACCCGTCACTTGTGAGCGCCCTCGCACATCCTTTCCCAAACGCGCCACGTCTTCAGCTGGCATCCCATACCCATATTGAAGATGAGCGGCATGCGATCACCTGCTCCTACGGAGGTTATGGACATCACCAACATGCTCAATAAGAAAGGTCAAATGCAACAACTTACATCCGGTCTCCTCGATCACCACCAATACCAACACTCCTTCGTTAAGCACGAACCCGGTATGGAGCGATCCGCCTCTCCTCACGGCTCCGAGCACTCGCAGTACTCTAACCCTCACAACATCGCACGAGCCTACCCATCGCCATCCACGATGCAAGCACCGATGCATATCCCCAACCCTATGCCCTCCGCCATGGGCCTGTCCGGCTACCCCGAGATGCCCAACATGGGCGGCATGCCTCACATGCACATGCAACACATGCCTCAGCAGCAACAACACCACCAGCCTCCTCCTCCTCCTCAGCAGCCCATTAAGGCATACCCTTGCAGCACCTGCGGAAAAGGCTTCGCGCGACGCAGCGATCTTGCTCGTCATGGTAAGTAAACCAAGGAGCAAATAAAGAGACAGCACTGACATCCTCCAGAACGCATCCACAGTGGTGTTCGACCCCACGTCTGCGACTGGCCTGCCTGTGGCAAGCAGTTTATTCAAAGATCTGCCTTGACTGTGCATCAGCGAGTTCACACAGGCGAGAAGCCTCACCATTGCGAGACTTGCGCCAAGGTCAGTACTAAGAAACCGTTCTATTTGGTACCAATGCTAACCAAAACTAGCCCTTCAGTGACAGCAGCTCTCTTGCCCGTCACCGCAGGACACACTCTGGAAAGCGTCCCTACAAGTGCCCTTACGCCGATTGCCAGAAGACGTTCACCCGTCGAACCACCCTCACCCGCCACCAGAACCACCACAGCGGTACCATCGAGGAGGCTGCCGCCGCGACTGCCGCTGCTCTTGCTGCGTCAAAGACTAAGGGAATGTCGCAAGCTCGATCTGAAAGCGACCACATGTCTAACCACGGCTCTCCTATGACCACTCCTTCTCCTAGCCAGCGAACAATGTCCATGTCGCCTAGTGTTGATCTCTCGGGCACGAACAGCATTCCTCGTCACCCCGGTGACTTCCAGTACCTCCAGCAGACTGGTTCTCTGCCCATGCACATGCGGGTCGGAAGCCCTACTTCTACCTCATCTGGTGGCTACAACATGATGCGACCTACCTCGCACCCAACTAGCTATGGTCCTCCTCCCACCCTGGAGCCCAACCTAGACAACAGCCAGGGCACCCCCAGCAGCAACGGTGGAAGCCCTCATATGGCCAACGTTGGCTGGCAATCGCCCTCGCACATGGCTTCTCCTTCGCAGAACAACGCCAGCTATGTGTATCCCGACCCTGCGGATGCCTACCCTACCAACAATGCCATGAGCCAGATGTACTACGGCGCTGCTACGCACATGCGCCGACCTCAGAGCGCCGAGCCTGGACTGGTGCATATGGCTTAGTTGGACCTTTTGCCAGTTTCCACTACTTGAGGAATGCTTTGAGGTCATCTTGGCGATCTGGAGCGTGCTCATCGATACCCTGTATTATTGATGCCGTGCCTGATGTAGGCACTCTGATTATCTCAGCGTTGTTTTGCATTTTGGAACCGAATTTCCACACCTCCACCGAACGAAGCTTGCCGCAACTGACGCCATATTTGCGTGCTTGTTTTCGAAATAATATCAATCTCCGCAACACCACCCCACACAACACTACTCAACGACTCCTACGCAGTTCGCTCCTAGATGGAGCATGTTTGACATGGAATATTGATTTCTGCACCGTTTCGTCATTTTCTGCTTTTATCGATTCCCCCTTTTTCCCGTGCGTTATGATGCTTTTTCATTTCCTTTGTTAAGTATCAAATAGACTGGCGGGCGGCACTCTTATGACGATGGACAGGGCATTGTGTGCATGAAGCAAACATAGGAAGGGAGTTACACCGGAATGAACATTTGCCGCTTTTCCATTTCTGAAATCAGAGGCGAAAAGACAACAGGCATCATGGGAAGCACAAGACGCTGGCCTGTTTGTGTAATTATTATCTAGACGGATTTGGGACTGGGAGCCAACACATAGACTTGATTTTTATGCAACGAACCAATTACATACTCCATCAAAAACCAACAACTCATTGTCGTGATTTTCCTTTGTGATTTGATCATTCGCATCTAAACGTGTCTACTACCATGCTGTAAATAGTTAATCACCGACTTTTAGAGCCGACCGCCTTTGTTATGAGTTATCATGCATGCCTCTAATTAAACCACATGAGGAGGGAGACTATGTTTCACCCTAGCAAGATCGACAAACCATGAATTCATCCCCTCTTGGCCCTTCAGCCCATCATGACGTCTATCTTGAAAGGCAAAAAGCCACCACAAGGCAAAACATGCGGCTGAAAGAGTCTAGACCTCATCAAAAACAGTACTGTTGGGCTAAAATAAACGAAAACGCGCCATTTCCCCAAATAATACTTCAAGCACAGATGTCAGACATCTTTACTGTAATGATCCTTCCAGCCCTTTCGTGTTTAATTCCCGGTAGCTCGCTTTTCCGAGCCAGTCCCTCCACCCCGCAGAAATTGATTTTCTGATTATTCATCGCAGACATATTCAATATTCAGCGACAGGCCTTGATGGGCGGGGATCATGCTCGACCCTGCGAATCGTGCAGCCTTTTGTGTCGTCTTCGCTTATTTCTACTGGATCGAATGACTTGTCATGACGGATAGCGTTTGGCTGGGCGTTGCTTGCCCCGAGCCGCCCTGGTCCTGAGGAGGTGAGAAGTGATACTCGATGGAACATAAGAGGACAGGAGATGCGGTATTCTTTTTATATAACTCGTGGGGTGCAGAAATAGATAAGCCCAGACTGTTCCTGAGATCTACAGTGGCAGCTAACTTGACTGAGCTTGTGTGTTCAACGTAATTCTACATTAAGATATTGGTAGTATTGCTCACTCGACTTGCGAATACAAGTCAACTGTTATTTGCTGTCCCTCTTGATCTATCCCGTGTCCAATTTGATAGGATGATTGTGGATATCGTTATTCACGGGGACATTCTCTGTCCATGGTGTTTCTTACAAAAGAAAAGCCTTGAAGAAGCTATGAAACGATACCAAGCACTTCACCCCGAGGTAGAATTCGATGTCATCTGGAAACCTTTCCTTCTCTACCCTACTCTACGAAAAGGTATACTGGATCCCTCTGTTGTTTGGAACAAGCTAACCTGTAATTCAAGGTGACAAGAGAGCTCTTTACGAAAAGATCATGTCCCCAGAGAAACTTCGTCTCTTTACCTCCCGTCTTCAAACAGCTGGGGCTCACCATGGCGTCTCGTTCTCTGTTACTGGTAATACAGGGCCCTCACAGCCTGCTCTTCGTCTCGCTACTCTAGCATTGCAGAGTCGCGGGCCAATCGTCCAGTCCGCGGTCCTTGATGCATTGTTCCGAGGCCACTTCGAGCACGGAGAGGACATTACCAACGAATCGTGGTTACTGCATGTGGGCAGGACAGAGGGGCAACTCGACGATGATGCTATGAGAGCGGCATTGATGGGACCAGAGATTGGTAAAGTGTTGGAAGAAGAAGTCAGGAGTGCTGCGGTGGGGGGCGTAGAAGCTGTACCATGTGTTACGGTGCAAAATAGATTTCGAGTTGGGGGATATCAAGCGGCAAACATCTTTGAAGGATTGTTCGACAAGATACGGCGGGAGAATAGGTGAATACGAAGGGGTTCGATGGGGGACACGATTAAGGTGCAAATATCCAGACCCGGTGTTTTCCATAAAGGCGCCGAAGAAGGCAATAAAAGTTGATAATCAATTATTCTTATTGATGTAATGCATTAATATGCCGCTGATGTACCTGGTTCCCCCATCTATCCGTCAATGTCCATCTCGTGATACCTTGTCTTTTTTATTTGGCATAATTTAATAGGTGCCGATGTCGCCAAACGCCGAAATAAAAAACAAATAACCAGTCCCTCGAGCCTTTAACTCGTTGATCAAACGCCTGGAAAGAAACAGAAATGTATTGCACACAATCTTATCGTCGCATACCACTGTAGTCCTGCATGAGATGCGCCATGTGGACATTGGTCGCCTTTCCGATCCTGTTGCCCTTGCGCCTCTTCTGCACCTTGGGCTTGTTGCCCTGTCCCTCCTTGGTCTTGCGCGGGTCCTCGCTCGTAGGCTTTTGCCCGACGCTGGTGAGTTTGCGGTGCATCTCGTCGATGGGCGGTAGCTGGACGCGCTGCCACATGGCCTGGAACTCTGGCTGAACCTTATGGTGTAGAGAAGCATCGTTGGGCCATACGTATCGTGGGAGGTTGTCCTTCTTTGTGCGGACCACAAGGATCTTGTACTCGCGCTCAAGTGCCGATATCGTGTCCTCGCAGTCGGGCCAGCCGTCCTTGAGATCTTTGACCGACACGCCTGACGCATCTGTCTTTGCTTGCAGGTGACCCAGAAGGGTGGTTGCGTCCTTAACTCCGGGGATGATGGGTCGGTGAGCGTAAGTGCCTGTCTTCCAGGTCTGCTCGCTCAAGTTCGCATCGGGCTTCCAGTCTACACGGGGATGTCCTCGCAATCCTTCTGCCAGCTGGCGCTTGTGCTCTTCGTCGTAGCCTCTCAGACTCAAATGATCGATAATTTCCGTAATGGTCTTTGAATCGCCCTTCTTTTTCAAGTATTCGACAGCAAAGGTCATTTGGGTCTTGACCTCAGCACCATAGCCCGTGAGTTGTGGCTGCGAGTAAGGGACCTCGGGCGCGGCATCTCGTTTTCGCTTGGTAGTAGGGGTATTAGGATCAGAAGCAGCTGAAGGGGAAGGCGAAGGAGGAGCTAGTAATGATGGTACAGCCAGGGACGCGGCTTTGTTGGTCGAGGGATTCGAGATCTTCGTTGCGGCAGAGGAGAGGGTGCCTCGGAAGGCGTTTGCCTGCTTTTCGAGGTAGGATGACATGATTGACGCTGGAGAAAAAAGAGTGAATTGTGCTTTTATCGCTTGGGTAGGTCGAAAAGCAGCAGGAGGTTATTCGTGGTTGATTTCAGGCCAAGGAGAGACGGTCAGGGCGGACGGAGGCGGAACAAGGGAATAAGGGAACAGAAAGAAAGAGATCCAAAGATGAGCTTTGAAGTTGGAGGATTGACGTTGTTCCGGAGGCAGCGAAGGGCGAGTGAGGCTGATATTAATGACCCAAGGTAGGCTAGTGTGGCGCTGAATGTAGGTACTCTGAGCTGAGGCAGGAGAACGTGCAGGGGTTCACTTTAATTGTTCCGCCAGATGGGCAATTAGATATGCAAAGATGAGGCTCAAAAATATCTTGTTGTTTCTGCACTTATATAACGATTCGAAACTGTTTCCTTTTCTTTTAAGGGATATTTTCCCAACCTTGTGAGAATAGACTCTGACTTATTGTATGACTCCCTCCTGCGTCCAAGCCACAGGACATAAGTTGTCACTTGCCACGTACATAATCTTATTTGTGAACCTTGAGGAAAAGAGTACACTTTGCACTCTTTCACAATACAACATCTAACTGATACAATTGTCAAGGTTCAAGGTTGGGATTGATGTCTCAAAACTTTACAAGGCTTCAAAACTTAGTAATGGGCATGTTTGTGCAGTGTAAGGAACATAGAACAAATGGTCATGACGTGTCGTCAATTAAAACAGTGATAGATGTTTACTTTAAATGTCGTTCCCTCTGTTGAAAGCATGTCCCAATCCCGTGCAACACCATTCTCCATAGGATGGATGTCTGCGCACGAGCCGCGTTTCAGCAAATCGGTCTCTCTATCCCCTTCTCGATATGCGATCCTTATCTCTTTCGGTCGCACTTCCAGGTCTCCCCCAACAAAAAAGTGAGAAATCGAAAACCCAGACATGGGTTCGGTCCGGGAGAATAGCCCACCCACTGTTCTCATCCATCCATCCATATGTCCAAGTCGGGATAAGTTAAACTGCCTTTGTAGTCGTTGTAGTCGCATGCCAACCGTCTATCGCCGAACGGCCTCTTCCCTCCAGGCCAAAAGAAAACTCCCCAATGCAATTGTCGGTCAATCATCCGTAGACCTGCATTGATGCCATAACGAAATCACAAAAGCTCCCCTTTTATAACTCTCCGTCCTCATGCGTTAAGATTGAGGTTAGACACTTATGCGGAGCCTTGGGCCTCGTTCTGCTTCTGGAGGTAGTTGTAGCCCATGTAGGCGGCGAAGCCGACAGCGACAACAAGAGCGTAAGAGGTCAAGCTGGAGCCGGTAGGATCCTGGCCGCTGCCCTGGTTTGAGTTGGCGATCTGGCGTTTGGGGCCCTCTTCACCAGGCTGGAAAGTGACACATGTTAGCTAATGATCGCCGGAGTCTAAATTGGATGAATAATTGAGTTCTTGACTTACCAGACGCTTGAGCTCACCAACAAGGAGACCATCGAGAACCTCTCGGGCCTCGTCACTGTGGCCGACATCCTCGAAAGCCTCGGTGGCGTCTTGACCGGCGACATCGAGCATAACTTCCTCACCACCGCTACTCTATGTCAGTATGCCATGTATGCGATTGCGCGATGCAATGGAGCGCAGAAGCGGGAGAAGGAGATAACGTACGGGTGCTCGTCGAGGAACTTGGTGCAGTCGTAGACCTTCTCGTGGACAACCATGTAGATGTCTTTGGAGGTGTTGTGCTCAGCAACATCCTGCATGGTGAACTCCTTTGTCGCGGACATGATTGCGGTGGATTATGATGAGGTCTTATCGAGAGGTGCTGTCGAACGAACAGGTGATTTGGGTAGAAGTTGACAAGTGGAGGAAGAGAAGAAGAAAGAGAAGAAAGGAGGAAGAAAGTGATAGGCAAGAGACGGAACTTTAGTCTAGGAAGCTGGTTGGGCTAAATTAATTTAGATCCCCTGTTCTAGGTGGCCTTCTGGAGATTTGGCGGCACCGGGCAGCTTTACGTTGAGGGGCAGACAGTGCAGGGATCCAGTTGGAGAGTGGGAGACTTTAATCAGCACCTACCTTAGTAGACAGAGGTGAGGAAGGTATCTGATCTGTACGAATACTATGTACTGTGTACATGATTACCCATTGGGAGGCGTCTACTTTGCATTGATTCAGTTGTCTTCCTCGGAAGGGCATCGGAAACAGAAACCGACGAGAGATTCTAACTTCCAATTAGTCCCCCAGATCTGTTTAGGTACCTGCTCAGTAGTAAACCCGTTGTCTTTTCTGGCAATACCATTTTAACACCAGTTTCACCACTACTATCCGTACAAACATACCTACCTAGGTAGGCTGCTTTCCCTCAATAATGGCCACGTAAGTCTCTTACAATAAAAATGTAATTCTTTCATCTTTTCTCACTCGAGTCCCTGGTACAATCAGGCCAGCCAAAAATCCGGACCCCCATCCGTTGCAGGACCCCATCACCGAGAATGTTTCTGAACCAATTAGACAAGTTAAAATTACCGTCTTTTCACTATGATTCGTCTATTCTCTTGAATACCCCAGCCTTACCAAAGCTAAGTCACTTGTACTGCTGCTGCTTGGACCCATGGAAGAGCCACGGACTGGTCAATTCTCATTGCATTGTTCGCTGTAACTTCTTTGTTTGCACTGACTGTACATACGAATACGGCGCCGTCTTCTTCTTCGCCCTCCACCGTGTCCGGAACTACACCGTCATTTTGAAGGATTGAAGGAAGGCCTTGTTGCTTCGTTTAGTGTTTGAACATGCATGGTATGATTACTTGCTTCCGTGTTTTAATTGCCTACGCAGCTACCTATAATCCTCTAGAGCACCTACCTATTTCGTGGCTCTTTAACAGGACGTCAACAATTGCTAGCTGGCTGCCTTCAACACCACACATACCCCTCTAACAAACCTATCTACTAGACAATCTCCCCGCATGCCTAAATAACTCAGTAGACCATACTTAAAACACGGACCTCTCCTCCGTCTACCGCGCGGGGTTAATCATGTCATCTGTTCCAGTTCACATTGACAAGACTCAGGGAGGGAATTTCCTCTTTAAGCCAAATCAAGCGGAGCCTCTCACAAGTTCATAACAAGAGTCAAGATACCCGAACACTATGCCGAGACCTACCTACCTATGACCGATTCCGCGGGTCATCATGATTACGGCACTTCATTGTACACAGGTACTCAAATCCGACATTTTGATTCCAGAATTGCTTGTCACTCGTCACACCAGTGCCACTTTCCACTGGTGCCCGGTCCCGGTACAGATACCGATGTCCGATTCCCGAGGGAGCCATCTCATACCTTTACCCGTTGTGGTATCTGTCATGCAAGATAAGCAAGGCATGCTAAGGGAACGGGCTTCTTTAACTCTTTTTGTTATCTTTCATGTACTTTTAAATCTGCTGTGACTGTGGTAAACTACACGGCAGCAGTTCAGTTGATAATGGACGTGAGGTCTCTGCGTTTCATCTTCAGTTGGAGTATTTGTATGCGCCGGTATAGATTTTAACAATCTTGTGCAAGTGGCTTTCCACCTACTGGCAGTATTTTGACCATGATCGGTTATGTATGCCCACCCCGTCCATCACTTAGTTCGTCTCATTCGCTACATCACAAACATGGTTTGGCAGCCGCAAATGGTGCATGAGACTAGAAGCCTTCTTTACGTTTCTATGTATGTATCTGGAATGCCCACACTTTATAGAGCAACTTCATGCCTTGACCACCATCGCTTGATAAGGTGA